GGGGGGGAGCCCCCCCCCCCCCCCCCCCCCCCCCCCCGCAAATACGAGGCACCATAGTGGTACATAGGTCGATACGGCTCCGACACGGCCACCGGGGGGACACGAAGAAGCCGCAAACACGCAGGCATCCTGAATGGCACGCTAAATAGCATCGTGTGCCCGGGAACGTGGCGTAGAGCCTCCGGCCCCGCCGATACTAATAGCGGGTAGGGACAAACATCGTGTGGTTGTTGTTGTTGTTGTTGTTGTCGTCGCTGCCTCTTTTCTTGTTCACACGTTAGCCCACAGCCACAAATCGAGCTCGTGGTCACGTGACGAAATTACATGCGTACCAGGAGGGAAAAAGCAACATAAACACACACAAAAAGGAAGCCACCGCACACACGCACACACTTTTTTTCAGCGGCACTGAGACTGACGTAATTTCAGTGGTCAGCCCGTTAGCGCGGTCGATGATGCTCATAATAAATGTACACAAAGGAAAGTATACACACAATAAATCACCGTGCCCCGAGGGTGTGTGTTCTCTGTGGTGACCGAAAAAGAATAGAATATGGTGCCTGGAAGAGAATAAAAACGGAAGGAACTGCACGGGACCGTAGCTAAGCTGCCTGTCGTGTCAGGGCGCATACGCATGACATGTCACGACATGACAAATAAAAGAGCACAAGGCAGAGGGTGCCGCGAGAGTCCCACAGAGACGGAGCAGAGCGAGGCCAAGCGATAGGTAGGGGACAACGAAATGTCATAGCGGCAAGATACCAGGGGGGTGAGTGCCGCCCGCTGATACACGACACCCATAATTGACGTATTTGTAGGCAAAGACACGGGCTGGAGGATAAAAGTATCACAGGGCAAGGTCGATTCAAGAAAAGACAACAGAAAAGAGAGAAACAACCTCTGGAATGGAACACGAGGCAACCGCTAGTGAACAACCCGGGGGGAGGGGGGGGGCAGGGGGCCAGAGAATGCCGCTCGTGGGACATGCTCCGTAATGCAACGTCACTTGTACGCAGTCATCACGACAGCACACCGGCAGGCCAGCACTGCTCCTGAAGAAAATAGTAAAAACAAAAAACACAGCGAAAGAACCGCGATTGGGCATGTCATTGCCCCCCCTGACGTCGAGCCTTGTCTCGGGAGGGACTTCGTAGCCAGGAATCCCTTTATCATGCTACTGCGCACATCTTCTTCGATGACGCTGGCACGAGCTCATTCAAATTGATTGGCGGATGTCGGATGTGTCGCCATGAGGTTTGTCGGGAACCTTAGGAACCCGCCCATCATGAATACGCACACCTTAGCTCCTCCCGCTGCTCTGCTGCTGTTTCTCTGGCAGTTCCCTTGACTGAAAAACACATGGCACCCCGGCGCAATCGTCCAAATAAATCATCTCGTCCTTCGTGTGTTTGTTTTTGTGCGCACCACCGAGCCAAATCAGGGTGCAGCAGTAGTCCGTGCCAAAATCAAGGACCATCGGGCGGACGGAGGACTGAACTATATTGCCTCTTTGCATCCTTTGGCAGTAAAGTGCACACCCTTGCGATATCCCAGACACGCGCCATGCTGATAAAAAATCACCACAGAAACCCCTATAAGGAGGGTGTACTACTGTGCAGTGCTGTGCTGCTGCAGCCGGTGCACAGACTCCGCGTGCACTTTCGCAGCAGCAGTCGCCATGAACAGTCGCTGCTGCTGTGAGCTGAATGCATGGCTGAGTACCGAAATGTAAAGGTACGCGGGGGATGCAAAAAGTGTAACGTTTTTTTACGCCACGACAACATCAACAACGACGGGCCTACCGGCGAGGCGAAATGTGCGTGGCCAGTGGGCCCTGGTCATACGTTCGCGATATGTACATCCGTACACCCGCGCACGTCCTCTGTGCCATGAAGTAAAGGTCATCATGATTACACAGACCCTTTCAACGTTGCCGACTGCCAAGGCGATATCAGAGAAAGATATGTCACCATCACTTCTTTTGTGCGACCGAGTGCCGACACGGAAAACAGGAGGCAAGAGAGAGAAAAGTTAAAGCAGCTCAAGCGTGTGTCCCTCATCCCGGCCGTGGGGCGTCCGGGCCTCGGGTCCGCTTTTTGGGGGTGCCCAGAGCGTTCTTCGCGTGTTTTCTCAACGCGTGCGGTTGGTAGCGTTTCTCTCTTTTTCTCTCTTGCTCTTTTTCCGATGTCCACGCCTAGCGGCACCATCATGTCTTGGGGGTCGGGCGAGGCCGTGCCGATCGCCAAGGAAGACGACCCCGAGGTGATCCTCGAGGCATGCGCTGGGGTCGAAGGCGTTTCCCGCCTGATCGATCCGGCGCGGGTGGGCGTTTTTCCCGGGCCGCGCGCCGCCGACAAGGTCAAGGACGCGGGCCAGGTGATCGCGGCGCTGCTTACGACCATCAACGCTTGCGCCGCTGAGCCCAAGCCACTTCTACTGGAAGCCCATGCGGCAGCGGCGTAGGGAGCGGGGAGCGGCGCGGAAGGCCTCAAGCGCGGCGTGAGGGCGATGTTGCAGGCCGTGATGGAGTACCTCTTCACGTGTGAGACTCGTGGCGGCATATGAGGGTCGTGCGGTTTTGTTGCCTATGGCGATCACGGGGGGGGCACTCCAGCGCGGCCGGACCGAGGCGGCTTTGGCGGCCGCAGCCCCGGCCGCGGCTGCCGCGGCGGCTCAAGCGGCGGCTCCTGCTACAGCAGCCACGACGGCTCCTGCGCCAGCGGTCGCCACCGCGGGCGTCGGCGACGGGGTCAAGAAGCGTTCGCATGCGGAGTTGGACATGGTGGACAGCTTGCTGGAGGAGGCGAGCAAGAAACCGGCGGCGAGCGACCATGCAGGGGACACCGCCAAGCCTCTCTACGAGGTCACGGCACAGCGACAGGTGAGAGCGTGATCGCCTGCGTTTTAGACATGGAGACGGCCTGTTCGTAGCGGGGTGCGGGGTAGCGTTGCAGCGTGGGGCTGCGGAGTTCAGACACATGAGAAGATCAAGCGCACATACATATCACCACAGGTACCTTGGCTGCACGCACGACAGCGGATGTGGTCGGGAAAATGGAAGCGAGAGGACATGCACGCCGCACACATATCAGAAATATTTTGCGCAAATACACGACAGCGCACAGACCAACGCACCTTTCAGAGTACGGCAGTAGGTCCGTGGGTACGCGGGCGACAGCGTTGCCACACAGTCGTGGTTGGTGACGTTGCGGAGTACGGTTGTGATGTGGGACAGGGCCATCTCGTTCTATTGTTGGGTGCTGTACGTTGGTTTTGGATGCAGATCGCGAGCGCTTGTTGTTATTTTCACACGAAAAAAAAATAATGTGTGGGCGTCCCTTTTCGTCCAACAGGATGTGGTTTTTGTTTGTACATACGGGGGAAACGAGAATGCGGCTCGGGCGGCGCTAGTCCCTTGGTTCGGAGGCGAGCGCCCGTAATATGGAGGTCCCCGGGGCGTTTCGCACTACATTGCACGTCGCTTGTTCGCTTCATTTCACGCTGTTTTCTTCACGCGTCTACCTGTACAGATCGAGATGAAGAGTTCGCCCGCGCAACATATTGCGCAAGGAAGAGGTTGTCCGCTCGGTGAAACAATACATTCAAATTGGCGTCGTTTTTTCAGTTGGTTTGGGATGAGTGCGGGGGCCACACCGCGGGGAAGCGGTGGCGACGCAAGGGGCAGTCGGGGCACGAAGGTGGACTCAGTAGGCGCACACACGATGGCAAGTAAGTTAGCACGGAGGCACACGCACGCACAAAGAGACAAAGCACGTACACGTACAGGCACAAGCACAAGCACACGCACAGGCCCGCTCAATTTGAGCGGTACACGTACCGAGGACACGAACGGTTGCCCACGTGGACCACGCACAGGAAGCTGAGAACCGCAGCAGTACAGTGTACAGGAGGCACGCACGGGTAGCAATGTTGTACGGCGGCGAGGCATGAGGCCAGCAATGGTTTTAGGACGGGGCGCCCAATTTTGCACATACGGCACACTTACGGTCTATTTCATGCATGCACGTGCGGCGGGCGGTCGTTGGTTGTCCCTGTGTCATTTGTGTTGGTCGCTTGATGCAGAGGGAGACCAAGTCCACGGGTCTGTTGGAGCTCGTGCCGGAGGTCGCCAAGGCCATGTCCGTGGGGCCGGTGGTTTGCGCGGATCTGATCGGCCGGGTCCACAAATACGTGGTGGCTTTGGAGCGACTCTACAACGTCGACCACTCAGATTTCAAGCAGGAGAGGCCGTTTACGGCGGTTCTCCTCGGAATGATCGAGGAGGCACAGGCCTCGCAGAACCCGGTGGTAGGCTGTGTCGCGTTTACAATGAGTTGTCGTCGTCCGCTCAGAAAAATCGGGCGGTCGACCGGGAGGCGGTAAGGAAGAAGCTCAAAGAGGCGCGCCTCCAAGCAGGCCTCTCGAAGCACCACCCCGCGATGGTAGGGGGAAGCGTGGCTGGGGTAGGGGGCAGGTACGGAACCCAAGGCATACTAACCCTAATGTACAACGCGACACAGCCTACCACCGGGTCCTGCGAGACCTCATTCCGAGGAGAACCGGGGTGAACGGCCTCTCCTGCTTGAAATCTGAGTGGTCGACGTTGTAGAGTCGCTCCAAAGCAGTGCAGTTGCCGACATTTTCGGCCTCGGAACCGTCTCATAGAGAGAGGGCTTTAAGCCAAAAAGGCACCCTCTAAATTGCAGCACGAGCACCTCTTCGTCGTGGAGAAAAACCGTCTCTGTCGCGGAGATATCGAGCATTGACAATCGGTATCTGTGGAACCTACATATGTATGCATGGTAAATCAGCACGAAGTCAGGGCACCCACCGGGCCAAATCATTGCACACTGCACACCCCGTGCCACCACCACCATCTTATCCTGTGGTATGCAGAATCTCCAAAGTAAGAAGAACGTTCTCGGGAACGTAACGGAAATGTCGATCAATCGATGGATGGCTCCAAACGAGAAGGGCTGACAACAAATACGGTCCGTGGGCAATGCGGATGAGGTGTGCTATCAAATAATGGTACCTGCACCTTGTAAGTTCGTTTTGGATGGATGGCAATCGAATCTCCAAGTTCGTCTTGGACGGGTGGACGGATGGCAATCGAATCTCTCCGCAGCAAAGCGGAATCACCACCCGACGCCCGTGGTAAGCAGACGTAACACAGCAGCTAAATTTAGCTGCGGACGGCGGTCAATTACGTAGATAAATACTCCGGTTGTATTTATTTAGTGTGTTTCTCGACACTCCAAGCAGCAGGTGCATGCATCATCACCTTGGTGCCCGGCCGCAACTTGAAGTCGAAAGCGTGCTCAAGGTCGCCCCTGTGCGTGTCCTCGGTGTGGTTGCCCTGTATGCACCGGCCCTGGCCATGTATCCACTTGTCGCGCAAACTCTGCAGGCCGAGGGGAGACGGAACAGAAGGAAAAAGAGCCAGCAGGACATGATCTCCGGTGCTGTGTGGTAGATAACAGACATCGGATACATGCTGCTGTACCCGTTCCCCTACTCGCCTACAAACCGCGCCAACGCCCGCGCGACGCCCACGAACCAGGGTCGGAGTTATCGCGCTGGCTGTGCATACAGAAGAGGGTGTGCTTGCATATTTCATATTTCGGACAAACCCGCGGGTGTTGCGTCGAATCTTCCGCAAGAGCCATGTGCGCAAAAGGCGTGAACTTCTTGTGCGGCAAGCCGAGCATGCACGGGCTAGTTGATGGCCGCGCGGGCACCGACTTCATGCGTCGCTACAGCAGCATATCAGGTCGTTGTCGGTCTCAGCGAACAGATCGCGGCCAGGGACATCGCCCACAAGGGGAGAAGGACGAAGATAAACATAAATCGAATTGAGCTTTTTGCTCTTGCATGACTCGAATTCTCCGCACGCAACATGCACAAAAAGAGCTGCTGTTCTTCCTGCCGCGCAACCGCTTGCCTCGTACATTTCCTGCCCCCGCGTTCGGAGGGGAAACAATCGAGCCCTCACCTTTGGATACTCGAACGGTAGCACGCACGAGATCATAGTCTCCGTCGACGTCCGTGTGGACAGAGCAGTAGCTCTGACAGGCAGTGCGAGTGTGGGCAGCTCAAGGCAATGGTATATGACAATAAAAAAAAAAAATTATTGTCATATACCATTGGCTCAAGGTCGGGGTGGGGCACCGCAGAGAGGGGAGGGGGCACCGCGGAAAAAGAGTCGTTTCAGGGTCTGTGGGCGGCAATCTCACACACCAGACCAGCAGGCCGAGGGCAGGAGCAGGAAGAGAGCTCTCGTGGAGAGGGGGATTCGGTAATGCTGGGCTTGGAGAGGAGATGGCTGGCAATCGATTAGGTGCATTCAAGAGCGCGCGTGCTTCAAAAGACAGGTGTGCGGAGGAAGTTTTGTTGTGTCCCTTTTGAACGGACATGTCTGCGACGGTGAGAAGGTTCTTGCTGAGAGTACAAAGGGTACGGCCTGGGGAACACACGCAAGAGAGGTGTCGTCCATGCCTTTCGGAGGTCGAAGATAAGAGACGGTACTGCCGTTGTGTGTGATGCACAGCGCCAACCGTCGCTCGAGGAATTTGGGCCTAGTCGATGCCGGCGCTCGCTGTACCCCGCTGCCCCGCTCTCTTTTGTCCCCCTCACCGATCGACGTTCGACGAAATATGGTGGCAATTCTCTTATATTGGAAATGGTCGCTCCATGTGCTTGGAGACGATACACAGAGAAAGAGGGACAAGAGATAGAGACACTTGGCGGGGACGAATGGAGTGAAATTGAGGGCTATTGACGCCGTGTGTAATGGTCGATGAAGACGACTTGAAATCACTCCGCGCCATCTGCTACTGCTGTAGTTGCTCGGTCCCCTCAACAATCCGACACCGCAACACACCTGACGTCGGCGGACGGCAGCAGCTCGCTCGCCGCCACACATAGATTCACCGCTTGCATTGGATACGAACTGGGCCACTGCTGCTCTGTGCGTTGTTTGCTTCACAATGTTTGCTTGAATGTGCCGACACTCGTGACCGGTTTGCTCGACAACAGCAGCAGGACTGCATGGCACGGTACAGCAGCAGTAGTGTGTCGGAACAACTGCTTTGAAGATTTTAGCTTGTCACATCCACAGCTATATTACAGGTGCAGTAACACGGCACGGCGGTGTTCGGCGTCTCACGCTCCCACGCGTAGCGAAGCGCTTTACAAGATGCCTGCTAGTTGTATGCAAATGGTTACCTTTAGAGCAGCAAACGTTCGCTGTTTCTAGGAGTGCGGCTAGTGCGAAAAGAAAAAGCTAAGTGCGACTTCGATGACAGTCAGAGTTTGTTTTGCCGTTCGTTGTGTCGTGATCGCCGGCACAAGAGAAGCACGTGTTCGGTTGTTCGTCAAGTTGAACGTAACTGCCATAACCTGACCTCCCACACACACACACATTACACTGCACGGCGCGACATCGCCGCAGCTTGTCTCGCCCGGTCAGTTACTGTCTTGTCGCCGGCCGGTCAGAAGTGCGGTGCCATGCTTTGTAGTCTTTCTACCTTCGCTGTCTTTGCGTGTACTTGTAGGAAGTCAGCATATACCACCGGCATGATATAGCAGGATATGAGTCAGATCTCCCCTCTACCGCGCGGAAGATCCTTCCAAGTCCAAAGGGGGTGAACCAACCAGCGATTTAGCTGCCAGCTCAACGCACACCTTTTGGCAACTTTGTAAAAAACTCCACTTCGTTTTCAAGGGATGGCCTACCCGACTATTCGGAACTGCTCACAAGTGAACCAGATTGACGTCAAGGGTGCAACGATGGTGGCCTACATAGCACAAGTACTTTGTTTATGCCTGTCCGGCCGGTCCGACCGAAGGTTTTCCCCCGTTGTTGTGTATATGCATCCTCCATCCTGAGGCCTCCCCATGTTACTCCTCTGCCCGAACGGTTACGTGTGGGTCCTTGCGAGCTTCAAGATGGCTTTTCTTCGTTGTTCGATCGGCCCGGCCGAAGCCGTTCGCGTCTGCGCCGCGCTGTGCAGCGCAGTCGCGCGTGGCGAGGAAGTTCTGTCCCTGGACCGCCTTTTGCTGTCGTAGATGTCGCAGATTGCGTTGGTGTGTTTGGAGGTGTTTACGGGCAGCCAGGAAGGCGGCGAACCTTGTTTGTTGGTTTTGGTGGGCCATCGACGATTGGTTTTGGCGATAGGTGGTGAGATCATGCTCGCGAATCCTTTAGACCGGTGAGCGTTGTCCTCCGCTCGTCAAGTCTCAAGACGGACATGCCGGATTCGTCTTGTTCCAAACCGCCTCTCCCCTCCCCCCCCCCCCC